TAATGGTCTATTCATAGACAGTGTGGGTATATATAGGGGAGATCAGATCGGAGATCTCGTTGAATTGTATTGGAGTTTACGTATCTAGTTATTGGAGTAGTGGAGTTTTACCGCGTTATTGTACTTGATGTTTGCAGAGTATAATAATACCAGTACCAGTTGAAACATCATCTGTTGGCTCCGTGTTCGTATTTTATCATCGCCGCCAGGGAAGTCTTTCTGTTACTGTTGCCATTTTGGTATTTGAACCATCACACCTGTACTATACCAATTACGGTAATATTACGTTGCGTGTGACAGTTGTCACTATCACAACAAATCAGAAAACAGATATCAAATCGATTTTGATTTGATATCCGCCTTAACCTGGCAGCTAGTTATAGATAAGGTGATATTTTATGAAGTCAACCCCCAAAGCACAACAACATAATTCTGTACTGTACAAAAATCGCTACTAATTTCATCTAATGTATCTGTATCTGGTTGAAGCCAGTATAGGTATCCATATTTATCTCGGTATTTATTTATTACGGTAGCTGTTACTTGAATAAAAGGACGTCGAGTAAAAAGGGCAACAAAGAACTTGTAAATTTGTTATCAGCGCATCAATATTCTTGATTACACATTTTCTAAAGCTGTTTTGAGGTGACATTTTCTAAAGCTGTTTTGAGGTGACATTTTCTAAAGCTGTTTTGAGGTGACATTTTCTAAAGCTGTTTTGAGGCGACATTTTCTAAAGCTGTTTTGAGGTGACATTTTCTAAAGCTGTGTTGAGGTGACATTTTCTATAGCTGTTTTGAGGTGACATTTTCCAAAGCTGTTTTGAGGTGACATTTTCTAAAGCTGTTTTGAGGTGACATTTTCTAAAGCTGTTTTGAGGTGACATTTTCTAAAGCTGTTTTGAGGTGACATTTTCTATAGCTGTGTTGAGGTGACATTTTCTAAAGCTGTTTTGAGGTGACATTTTCTAAAGCTGTTTTGAGGTGACATTTTCTATAGCTGTGTTGAGGTGACATTTTCTATAGCTGTTTTGAGGT